CGGAGCGGTGAGCACGGAGGGATCGGAGCGGTGAGCACGGAGGGATCGGAGCGGTGAGCACGGAGGGGTCGGAGCGGGAGCCGCGGTGGGAGCGCAGAACGAGACCCCAGAGAGGGAACGACAACGGGAGCCATGGAGGGACCCCAATGCGAGATCCCTGAGGGGGAATCATGGAGGGACCCACGGTGCGACTGCAGGACACCTCTGAGGGAGGAACCATGGCGGGACCCGGAGCGAGACCCCTGAGGGGAAACCATGGGGGGACCCCTGAGGGGAAGCCATGGCGGGACCAGGGAGCGAGACCCCTGAGGGAGGAATCATGGCAGGATCATGGAGAGGGACCTCTGAGGGGAAGCCATGGCGGAATCACCGAGGGGGAGCCATGGCGAGACCCCTGAGGGGAGAACCATGGCGGGGCCGCAGAGCGAGACCCCTGAGGGGGAATCATGGTGGTATCCCTGAAGGGGATGCATGGCGAGACTCCCTGAGGGGGCAACCATGGTGGGATCCGGAGTGAGACCCCTGAGGGGAAGCCATGGCAGGATCCCTGAGGGGAAGCCATGGCGGGATCCCTGAGGGAAGAACCATGGAGGGACCCCAGAGTGAGACCCCTGAGGGGGAACCATGGTAGGATCTGGAGCGAGACCCATGAGGGGGAACCATGGCTGGATCCCTCAGGGGGATGCATGACGAGACCCCCTGAAGGGGCAGCCATGGTGGGATCCGGAGTGAGACCCCTGAGACCCCTGAGGGGGAACCATGGCAGGATCCCTGAGGGGAAGCCATGGCGGGATCCCTGAGGGAAGAACCATGGAGGGACCCCAGAGCGAGACCCCTGAGGGGGAACCATGGCAGGACTCCTGAGGGAGGAACCATGGCGGGATCCCTGAAGGAAGAACCATGGAGGGACCCCAGAGTGAGACACCTGAAGGGAAGCCATGGTGGGACCCCTGAGGGGGAACCATGGCGGGACCCCTGAAGGGGAACCATGGCGGGACCTGGAGCGAGACCCCTGAGGGAGGAATCATAGCGGGACCCCTGAGGGAGGAACCATGGCAGGACCCCTGAGGGAGGAACCATGGCGGGATCCCTGAGGGGGAACCATGGCGAGACCTCTGAGGGGGGAATCATGGAGGGACCCCAGAGCAAGACCCCTGAGGGGAACCATGGCGGGACCCCTGAGGGGAACCATGGCGGGACCCAGAGAGAGACCCACGAGAGGAAACTTCAATGTGAGAGGAGCGGGACTTCAATGTGAGACCCCTGAGGGGGAACCATGGCGAGACTCCTGAGGGTGGGATCATGGCGGGACCGCAGAGCGAGACCCCTGAGGGGGAAACATGGGGGGACCCCTGAGGGGAAGCCATGGCGGGACCAGGGAGCGAGACCCCTGAGGGAGGAATCATGGCAGGATCATGGAGAGGG